TTTGGGAAAAGCAATCTGCCCGAGCTCTGCATCCCGCGCGGAAAGCAAGATCGCAAAACCTTCCCCCTCTCCACTCGGACCCCGACGGCTGAGGCTGCGCGCGGACCCCATTCGACTAGAAGCCAGGGAGATTGAGAGCCGCACCTTTCGGCCACTGAGCAGGCTTTTAGCTTTCCTCCCAGAATTGCCGCTTCTCCACCAACATGTAACAGTCGCAGCTCCCTGGAGGCCAGAGGGAGTCCCACCCACCGGGGTCTGCAGGAAGGCGCCGGCCACCACGTCCCCAGGACGCGTCCCGGCACTGCGCGCCGCCCACGGCCCGTCCCCAGGAGGCACAGAACCGGCCCGCCTCGGCGCCAGACGCGTTTGCAGCTGGAAAGCCTGGCCCCGGTGCCCCTCCCCCTACACCCCTCCCCAGTCCGCGCCCCGGAGGAAAGCGGACCGGGGGCCGGCAGCCGGGGCTCCGCTTCGAGCCCCTCTCTGTCTAAAGACTGGCGCTTCCCACTGCCTTCTCCCACCTCGTCTTTCTGTCTCCCCCCGCCACCCCCCGTCGGTTTGGAGTCCGGCTACACTCGGGTCAAACCCAAAACAAGACTGTCCAAGAGCCCGAAGTAGGGACTCATAGGGTGTCACTGAGGCTGTCGGGGAGTGGAGCAAGGGCCCCCTTTACCGAGAGGATTGTGGAGAGGAGAAAACCCAGAGGGAAGGAGAAAAGACCAGAGAAGGACAGGAGCAAAGCAGCAGCACCAGGGCCGCGGGGGGGTCAGATGGAGGTGGGGCTTGGGGGTGGGAGGGGATGTTAGAACCGGAGCCAGCGCGTCACCGATGAGGTGCGCACGTCCGGGGAGCCCCTTCCTCCCCTCCAGGGGTCCCCAGGCTCGCCGGTCTCTGGGCTGTTAGTCCGGTGAGCTGGGCGGCTGATCGCGCCCCGTTTGCCCCGGATGTCTCTCCCCGCTCTAAAAAGCTGCCTAGTTCTGTTCGAGAGCGACAGTGCGGAGGCGAGTCGGTCCAAAACGTTGAGCAATTCGGCTGAGGAGCCAAAAAGCCATTTCCCACACAGCGCAGCCCGGGGCTTTTCTAGGCGGCCGGGCTGGGCGCGGGGCAGTCCGGACCTGATGAGGGTCGTTCACGCTCCCTCTCCAGCCTCCGTTTGTCTCTCCCCTTGGAGATGGAGTAAGTGGCAAGTTCTTCCAAGCACTCTTTCTGCACGGCCTGGGGTCCTAGCAGGGCTGGGGGAAGCAGTGTGGAGGGGGCGCTCTGGCTGCGGGAGACAAGGCGGAGACGCTTGGCCCGGCTACTTCACACCTGGCCAGGAGGCCGAGGTTCCTGGTCCCTTTAGGCAGCGGTCGAGCCACACTCCCTCTCGCTCTGAGCCGACAGAGACCCTTTCCGAACTGAACCGCGGGTCCCAGTTGTTTCCAAGCCAAGGGGAAGCTGCCCGCTCCCTTGGCGCCGTCTGGAGAAGTTAATCTCATGTATAAAAGCCTATTTCCATGGGGATAGACGATGGAAGAAGGTGGGGCGCGAGGAGACCGCTCCGGGGCGAACAGAGGGAGTGAAATACATACAGGGACCCTGGAGAGGGTGAAGCAGCGCTGGGCCAGTGCAGGCGGCGAGCGCCCCGCACCCCTGTGCGGAAAGGGGCACGGGTGCCCCGAGGCAAGTGTGAGGGCGGCTCGCCTCCCACGTCTCCGTCTTACCTGGGAACCAAGTTTCTCCGTTCCGAGTTGTCCCTAACTTCCCCCACAAGCTCTCCACTTTTTTTTGGCGACCTTCCTTCTTTCCTTCCTGCGGCCGGGACTGGCTAGCAGCAGAGCTCCGGGCTTGGCAAAAAACGGTTCCACCGAGGAAGGGGGTGCGCAGAGATTACTGGGGGTGGAGACCACCGCGCACAATGAGGGCCCCTTGGAGCGCAGTTCGAAATTCCTCAAATCCCAGTTGCTGGAATGCGAGGCGACGACGACTTCTTCACTCGGGGCCAAATGTGTTTGTCATTACTCCACAGACCGCCTGCCTGCCCGCCAGCCCGCGCCGCCGGCGCCCCCGCGCTAAGCGCGCAACCCGAGCGCGCGGCGGGGCTGGCGCCCTCTCTCCCTCGCACTTCACTGATCCCGCAAACCACGGATCTCCAGAACCCTCGCCCAGATCGGCGCCCCCTCCGCTCGCCTCGCAGCCGCCACGGTTGTACTGAGTCTGGCCCTTACCGGGCGCAACACGGTTCAGTCATTACGCGCCCTGGGTCGGCGCCGTGTGCGCCGGGTGGGCACCGCAGGGCCGGCCCTCTCCAGCCGAGCCCTTCACGCCTCCCCTCCCCGCAACCTCTTCCGCTCCCCACTCCGCGCTCGTCTCTCCCCACCTCCCTCCGTCCACCAGCCGCGCTCCACACCGCCGGCTACAGTGCTGTCCCGCCAAACCGCGGACGAGGAATGAAAATACTCATTAAAAACCTGTAGCCTTCCAGGACTCCATGCCAAGAAGAGGGAGAAACACCTCTGCCCCCACTCCCAGCACTGCTTGGTGCTCGTCCCAATATACAGGAATATCACCCCCAACCCCCAAAAGAAACCTCAAAAATGTAAGCCTCAACAATTTCTTTGGGAGGCCATAGAGTTGTTAGAAAAATACTGCTTTTAAAAATAGGTCTGGAAAATGTGTTTTTTTAAACCCCTAGACTTTCGAACTCTATGGTTATCTTCCCTCCAAGTGAAGTTTATTCAAAATAAATTACTCTCTGGACATACAACTAGAATTCGACTCCAATTTTTTTTTTCCATCGCCCAAAGTTTGAAGTTACTTCACTTCTAGCCCAAAGAGCCTGATTAGGGATTTCTTTTAGAAACAAAAATCCTTTTTCTCCTCCCTTACCTTCTCCTCCAATGTCAATTCGCAATGAAAATCCTACATGAGGAGGTAAAATTGTGTCCACGGCCTGCAGCCCTCTCCTGCAATCCCCTCCTCTGTTTCTCTCCCTCTAGCTCCAACTGTAATGGGCTCAAAAACCGCGTTTTGTAATTGATTCAATGTTATAGTCCATCCTTCTAAAACTAATCATTTGCTCTAAGTAAATAGCTGTCAGGAAATGAAGCCCCCCCTCCCCTTGGCCTCTTCAAAATAAGAGTTTCCCTCGAACTCCGTGCGCTCCGAGTCTTCCAGCCTCCAGATTGCGCCTTCGCTTTTCGCTCTTACGCAATCAGGGGGTCCAGCCCCAACCCCCAGACTTCGACAACAACTGGGGGGCGGAGAGAAGCCGACCAGATGGGGTTGGGGGGAGGGGGAGGTGTTGATGCTCTGCCGGGAAAGAGGTTCGTGAAAATACAAACTGCCCATCATTTCCAAAATGAGTTTGCCTCTTGATTTGGGGGACAGTTTCCTACACTGCTATGCTGCTTTTTGTTTTCTTTGAAAGGAAGAAAAGAAACACGTATAATTGCAGTTAATGCCCAGAGAGAATATAAATCTGGAGTCGAGAAATGTCCCTTCTTTAGAAACTCCTAGCCCACCTAGAATCCGGGCCGTCGGGAGAGGTCTCCGAGCCGTTGCGTCGTTTTGAACCTGGGGTCTTTTAGGGAAAGTGCCGTATAGTTGCTAATCCTTTAATGGGATTAGGCAAGCTGTTGAGTCTAATATGAAGATGATGGGTGGTTTTTTCTTGGGCGGGGAGGGGGTTTGCTTTGCTTTGGTTTGATTTTGTCTGAAGACAGATTTGAAGTAGGGTACAAAGATTCGAGGGTCTGTCGTAGGTTTGGAACTTTCTCCGACAGAACGACCTTTACTCTCTTAAAGCACTTATCTTGTCTTGCCTTTGTTTTCATGGTTATCTGGGCGAGGTTGTCCTGGCTTCTATCACGCACACAAAAAGGCTCAAGCTTGATCGTCTGGGGAATCTTCTACAACCAGCCTGCCACCTCCGCGTTCAGGGGGAGGGTGCAATTTGACTCTCCCCGCACCCTCTCCCGCCGCGTGGGTCTGGCCGTACGGGTACACTAGGGATAAGAGGGGAGGCCCCAACCTAGCCCTGGGGCGCCAGGCAGGAGACTAAACCGGGAGAGGGCGATCCTGCTCGCGAAGGAAAGGGGGCGCTGACGCTCCAGGAACCAGACCTGGGCAGAGTGGGGCTTCCCGGCGAGGGCGGGGGAGGGGAGCGCATTTGCTCTCCCCACCTTCTCTAATTTCGAATTCTCTAGCTGGGTGGAGGGTTCATCCTTTACCACCACCCCACTCTCCCCCCACCCCCCACACACACCCTTGACAGTGGCCAGGGCGGCCTGGTTTAGGCCGGAATGTGGGACAGCCATCACCTTCTCCCTTACTTAGAGAGCGGACACGGAGCAGCCTGCAGGGGATGATGTTCAGAGGACTCGAAGGGGTGCTGTATGAACTGCGACCGGCTCCTGGGGTGTCCGGTTCGCGAGGACGCCTGAGGCTGGGCTAGGGGCCTCATTCCCCCAGTCCTTCTGCGCAGCCGCCTCCCGTGCATCTTCAGTTCGGGTGACTGCACTGCTCACTATTACTTCCACATGTTCCTTCAGGAAATCATTGAAGGCAAATATATGAACAGCCCCTTGTTCGGAATGCTAACAGGATACCGTAATGTTTGTAGATAACGAACGGGGACTAAAGAACCCCCCCAAAATCGGAGTGCGGAATAATAGGGGGAAAGCGGGTGCTGGCTTTCATGCTAATAATAAAATCCAGCTAAGATACAAATTTCTATACCAAGAACGCAAGAGGGTAGGAGGCTAGGCAGGGCGCAGGGCCTACCCAGTAAGGCCTGCTTTGCTCCTAGGATATTGCCAGCCCGGTCAAGCCGGGATCTCCAGGACGCAGGCCTCTGCTCTCCCCGCCCACAAATGGTAACTTCACAGTTCCTTTTAGACGCTTAAAGGGACCCGAAAAGCGGGCTGGGCGGGGGTGTCTTCGGGCCATAACTCCTCGCGAGTTTAAAACGGAGAGAACGGAGAAGCAAGTAAGCACTCAGTTGTCCTTCTGGTAGTAATTACCTGCCTAATTTGAATGATGCCTTTGTTATGATCATTAACAAACATTTGCTAAAGGTTTCCATGTGTGACATTCCAGAAGGTTTAAAGGCCTTGGGGAGCTGACTCCGGGGATGGAACACCGGTGGGGGGTGGCGCAAGGGAAGCAAATGGTGGGGAGATTTCCCCGAGCCTGGGCCGAGCAGATAGAGGGAGGTCAACATCTGCCTCCCCAGCAAAAGCAAAATAAACCCACTGGTCGGGAGCAACCTCGGGGCTGGAGGCCCACGGAAAGAGGCGGTTCGTTCCTTAAAACGAGTTCTGCCCACCCGCCCCTCCCACTGCTCATAGGCGGGTTTGAATCTTGCCGTCCTCCCTGCGCCGCGGTTCCGCGGATTGACTGCGCGCGTCTATCAGCAGGGGCGTCACGGGGAGGTGGGCGAGGCGAGTTTCCCTCTCCCCCTGTTGTTCTAAGATCCTTCCAGATTGCTCCCCCGATGCCCGGGGTCCTGGGTGGTCCACGAGCCGCAGCCGGCAAGAAACGCCTCCTGGCCGAGGCGAACTGAGGAGTCTCTTCTCCTTCTGCTTCTGCCCAGGGCGTTGCGGGGGTCCCACCACCCCGAACGGAGGAGTGACCATCACCGGCTTGGGTAGTTGAGCGAATGTCCCAGCCTCAACACGGATTTTGATTTTAACCTCTTGTGTTTTTCCCTTGAGAGCTCTTCATGGAATTACGAATGAGGGTTTTTTCCCCCAACCCCGTAGTCGGGGCGGCTGCGACCTTCTGGGAAGCAGGCCCAACTCGAGAGATGGGGAAGTTAGGGGAGCTCGGTGTTGCGGCGTGGCCTTGCGCATCTAGGCCCTCAAGGGACGATGAAATTGGAAGCAAGAGATGGAGCAGAGCCAGCCATCAAAAAGAGCCCCCCACTCAAGGTTTTTAAAACCAAATCCAAATGATCCCTGAAAACAACCAGAATCTCTCCCAGCTCTGCCTCCCCGGCCGCAGCCCCGGGTCACACCTTTGGGTTTCGTGGGCGTTTCCCCGCTGAGTTGGCTTTCTGTTTCTCTTCTCTTCCTTCCCGGCGCTCCAGCTCCACCCCCCAATTCTGCTTTCCTTGGAGAATTCAGAAGGTACTTGGGCTTTGGAAGATCTCTGATTACAGCAGTTATCAAAGCCGATAGTAGCGAAAATCACCTTTAAACCAAGTCGCAGTTGGTTTTTCAAATGAAGTTGGGGGTGAGGGGGAACGCATTTCTAGCTTTTTTTTTTTTTTTTCCTCTAGCTTTCTGAATTGAAAATAAAGGGCCATTTGGTGTTTGGGGGGGCTGGGGGAGGCGCTAACTGTCCCTTTTCCCACCTTCTTTCAATTCTTGCCTGAGCCTGGAAGAGACGCCTCTCTGGGTCGGCGAAGGGACCTTAGTGAGGAAGGATCCGAGAAGGATTGCGGGTGGGGGGGGTGGTTCCCCGCCTTTGCCTCGGGTCTGCCCCAGCTGAGGTTTGGAAGCTTGCTCTAGTCTCTGCAGCTCAGAATACAGAGGCCCAAATCTTATTAAAAGAGGACAAAGAGGGTCCAGACAGGCTCGTGTATCTTGGGGCGACAGTTCTCTCCGGGACCCCATACACACCTCCTCCTCTTGCCGGGGGGCTGACTAAGGGCGCAGCGTATCTTCTGGGTTCCTAGAGGCTTTCTCTTCAAAGATTTGTCTCCAAAGAGAAATCCAAAGCCGTTCCCCCTGGCTGGAGACCTGACGCGCCTCTGCTCAGGCTAGGGTTCCTACCACCTCGGCCTGCTTGGGGACCCGAGGACCACAGACTGTGAGCTCTGGTTCCCACCCTGACAAGCCCAGGGAGGGGTAAACTCCTCAGAGCTGAGAAAGACGTGGTGGGCCTAGACCCCTCCGGGTCGGATTCTTGGTTACCCTTTTCCTAGGGAGAGAGCCGGGCTTTCTCAATATGGAGAGGTTTTTGCGCCACCTACTCCCCTCTCCTTCTGTTAGACCTTAGCTTTTAGTTACTTTTAATTTGAAAACCGTGTGAGGGGAGGCGGAGGGATCGAGGAGATTGGGAGGTCTGCTCTTTATTAGGGGCCTCAGCATCCAGCTTTCCAACTCACAGCTGTGGCTTGGGAGGGGCAGGAGGGCTGGCTCTGTTGAGGTCAGCTTGACTGAAGAAAGGGCCTTGTCCTTAGGAGGTCCCAGGAGTAAAGTGAAAAGCTTCCAGCAGAAACTGCTGTGCAAAGCCAGTGGAACCTGGGATCCGCAGCTACATTAATTATAGTACAGAAGTTTGCGTGCGAGCCACCTTATTTAATCAGGGTATTATTTAATCCCCCAAACAACCCTGTGGGTTGTGCGTGATTACCCCCAATTAACAGATGAGCAAACAAAGGCAGAGGGGTTAAGCAGCCAGTGCGCCGCAGCACCAGTTTCTGCCTAACCGTGTCCTGGGTTCCAGTTCCAGTGTGGTCTAGTCAAGACAGGTCACGCCTCTGAGCCTCAGTCTCCTCATCTGTATGAATGGGCATGTCTGCACTTTGTCCCCAGATTGTTGAGAAGGTTAAACAATATGAGGCAGAAGCAGCCCAGGAAAGCGCTGGATAAAGTTTCTCTTCCTCTCCTTTCTTCAGGCTTTTTCACAGGCACCATCACTGACGTACTCCCCTCCAGGTCCCTGCTTCCCCTGGATTGGCCTCAAGAGCTGCGTAAATGCCAGTCTGGTTTTCTAGTTCATGGTCTCAGTTAAAGGTGGGGCAGGGGCATCTTGGTTCCTAGCTATTACCCATCAATGTCTCAGGCCCTCTCAAAAACTGGGTCCTAGGTCAGAAGGCAGCAGGGAGCCAGGAAGGACCAGAAAAAGCAGACAGGATGAGAAGACAGGCCTGACACCTCCAAGAAAGGATCTGTAGGAAAGTCAGGAAGAAGGGATGCTGAGGCCTCAGTCTCAGGGAACGCGCAGTGAGGATCCGTGGGGGAGCCTCTGGGGCATCTTGTAAGGTTGTGCATCAGGCACCCAGACTTTGAGAGGATACACTTGGTAGGTCAAGGTGTGCCATGCCTGCATCTAACACACAGTCACCTTCCTCCATCAGACATCCTCCAACCTTGATTTTGGAAGTTTCTCTTCCAGTTTTTCAATTCATTAAAGCTTATAGCACATCTAAAACTAACACAACATTGTAAATAAGCTATAATATATTTTTTTTAAATTTAGGTAAGTTAAAAAAAAATGGCATGTGCCAGTCAGAGTTTGCTCTCCACTTTAGAGAGTTGATTCAGGGAATTCCCTGGTTTGCCTTTCTGGGTAGCACTCGTCGTAAAGAACTGGCCTGCCATTGCAGGAGACAAAGAGACACGGGTTTGATCCCTGGGTAGGGACAATCCCCTGGAGAAGGATAGGGGAACCCACTTCAGTATTCTTGCCTGGAGAATCCCCACGGACAGATAAGCCTGGCTGGCTGCAGTCCACATGGTCACAAAGAGTTGGAAATGACTGAGCTACTTAACACGCCCGCTGGTGGTCCAGTGGTTAGGACTTAGCACTTCCACTGCTGTGGGACCAGTTTCATTCTTGGTCAGGGAACTAAGATCCAAGCCATGTGACACCCCTCGCCTGCCTCCGCCCAAAATAAAGTGAGAGAGAGAGCTGATTCATTGATTGAAGAAACATTTAATGATCATATGCCTTGTGTCTGGCTCTTTATTAGGCATCAGGGTTACAGTAGTAAACAGAATGGATATGGTCTTTGCCATGAGGGAATTTGCTACAGTACTCTTGTCTAGCTACCAGTGATCCTCACCCCAGTCGCTGCAGCCTCACTGCTGGGTATTGAGAGGGGCCCCATTAGAGTAACACTCATTATTTTCATGAGACTGTTAAGAAGAAGAAGGTTAAAGAAGGCAGACCTATTGAGTCATGAGTCACAGCACCCCACCCCACCCCCAAACTCTCCAGAATGTGTACAACTGGGATCTCCAGCCTGGCCTGAGAGGAGCTTGTGTGTGTGTGTGTGTGTGTGTGTGTGATAGTCACTTAATTGTCGTGTCCGACCCTTTGAGACCCCATGGACTGTAGCCCACCAGGCTCCTCTGTCCATGGGATTCTCCAGGCAAGAATACTTAAGTGCGATTGTTTATTTCTCCAGGGGATCTTCCTGACCCAGGGCTGGAACACAGGTCTCCTGCATTGCAGGCAGATTCTTTACCATTTCAACTACCAGGTAAGAGGGGAACTTATCTTTATCCAATTCAAGACAATAAATATGTACTGAGCCAAAAATTCCCAAGACTCTATATCAAGGGCTGAGGATACAGCCCTGCCTACATGGTTTGTAGACTAGTTAACAATCCATTAAACAGGAAGTTGGAATATAGTGCTGTCAGTGAATGTGAGGGTGCACAGTGATGTCAAAACACATAGGAGGAGCCTAACCCCAGCTCAGAGTTTGGAGAAGACGTCTTAGAGGGAAGAAACATCTCCTTTGTGAACCTAAGAATAATCTAGTTCTGGAAGACTCTCATGGACGTGAGCTTAGAGATGAGCGACAGCATGAGGTCATCAGCCGTAAAAAAGTTAGGAATGACTAGAACTTGTAAGGGTCCAGATGGCTAGGAGTGAAAAGGAGCCAGATCCAGAGGCCTTCCAGGCTGTGGTGGTGTTGTTCAGTCGCTCAGTCATGTCTGACTTTTTGTGACCCTGTGGACCGCAGCACGCCAGTCTTCCCTGTCCTTTACGAACTCCCGGAGCTTGTTCAGACTCATGTCCATTGAGTCAGTGACGCCATCCAACCATCTCATCCTCGGTCATCCCCTTCTCCTCCTGCCTTCAATATTTCCCTGCACCAGCATCTTTTCCAATGAGTCAGTTCTTCACATCAGGTGGCCAAAGTATTGGAGCTTCAGCATCAGTCCTTCCAATGAATATTCAGGATTGATTTCCTTTAGGATGGACTGGTTGGATCTCCTTGCAGTCCAAGGGACTCTCAAGGGTCTTCTCCAACACCACAGTTCAAAAGCATCAATTCTTCAGCGCTCAACCTTCTTTATGGTCCAACTCTCACATTCATACATAA